CACTGACTTCCTACAGTAAAAAATCAGTGCTTCTTGCGGAAATACTATTCTGCTCCCATTCAGGCAAAAGTCCCTTTTGCGCAAAGCTTTTGTGCAAAAGGGCCAGTGTAGACAGCTCAGATTTGTTTTCCTCAAAAAAGCCCCGATTGCGAAAATGGCGATCGAGGCGTTTTTGCGGAAAAGCACGTCTAGATTGGCATGGACACTTTTCCGTAAAAAGTGCTTTTGCAGAAAAGCATCTGTGCCAATTTAGATACTGTTCTGAAAATGCTTTTAATGGAAAACTTTTCCGTTAAAAGCATTTCCAGAAAATCATGCCAATCTAGACGCAGCCACAGAATATACAGATTTAGGTGGGTGTATTTGAAAGGCATACAGAAAAATGGAGAGAGCAGCATTAGTAAGCTGGCCCAAGGGTTACCCACTTAGGTGTGATGGAGTGAGAGAGAGAAAGGGAAATTTAGACTGAATAACTGGGAAAACTTCAAACTTGAAACAGTCTCCTAAGGGAAGTGAGAGAAGCCTCTTCGTACGAATCATTTAAAATTAGCCTGGACAAAATATGCGTGAGAATAAATTAACAATCAAGACTGAGAATCTTGAATGAAGAGTGAGAATCTGGACTCTTTTATCTCTGGATCTTGGGGCCTTTCCAAATGTCAATTAAATGTCCCAGCAGGAAGTAGTATGGGGTAGGGATTATGGAACTGGGCCAAGAATTAGCAGACGCGGGCTCTATTTCCCAGATCTGTATCTAGCTTGCTATGTGAAGTTGAGAAAGGCATGTCAGAGCCTCAGTTTATCCTCCTTCCCTTTGCCTATCTTGCCTGTTTGGCATGCAAGCTCTTCGGAGCAAGGACTTTCTCTCACTGTGCGTTTGTACATCACCGCTAGCTCAAGAGAGCGCTACCCTCCATTGGAGCTGCTGGCTGATATAGCAGTGCAAACAATAATGATAAACAACATACTCCCCATGATCCAGTGCAGTAAATAATATCATCTCCATATAAGAGAGTGAGAAACTGAAGCCATGGGTGGGTAGGTGATGAGAGTCTTATTTGGGATGATTTCTGTCGTGCCCCAAACCGCAACCAGACAAGCAGTTATGGGAGAACTTTCATTGTTGCTGGGGGGGATGGGCACAGGTCACCTAGCGAACCTGCACACAAGAATGGCAGAATTGGGAGGAGGCTGTTATTTCAGGGCTGGTGCTGTTTCATTGTGGTAGGCCTTTGACTAGCAATTTCAAAGCAAATCTCCCAGTGGTATCTAAGCAGGTTTATTTTCACACCAACAGGTCTCATTGAGCTAGACTGGCATCAGCCAATGGTCCAATATCTTCTATTCATTCATGGAATAAATGTTTATGTACACGGAGGCATGTGTGAATATGCATCACCAGTAGAAATTAAAAGTCTCGCTGTGGGCACTCTGCTAATGAGCTGGGTGGCATTTGAATTGCTCCTGTATGGCTGCACAAATGCACAGCTTACAGGGAGCACTGCCCCCAGCCTCCCACTTGCTGGTTTTCTGCTCTGTTGGCAGAGACTTGTCAGTATTGTTACTTGGGACATTCCTGCCCCTCCATAGAGCAGTTCAGTCACCTTTCTCTAGCACCAGCCAGCACAAAGGAAGCCCTCTCCATTCTCCATCAGTTCCAGGTGATTACACAACTGGCAGGCAAACTCCACACTTACACTGCTGAGAGAAAAGCAGCGAGGCTGCAGAGGCGTGGGAAACTTTTCTAAAGCAGGGGTGGGCAATAATTTTTGGTGGTAGGCCACTTTAAGCTTTTGGAAAGCAGTCAAGGGCCACACTTTTCTGTGGAGGAGATACAGAGTCTAGGGTGGAGGTTGGGTGCAGACGTGCGCATGGGGTAAGGGACTGAGTGCAGGAGACAGTTGTTTGAGCAAGAGTTTGGATGGAGGAGGGGGTTGTGACTTGGGGCCAGAGAATGGGGTGCAGGGCTTGGGAGGTTGCTTAAAGCTGGCCGCAGTTCCACAGCTTGCTCTGCTCCCTCAAACGTTCTAAGTAAACATTTGGAGTGCAGGGCATATTGCTAGAGACCTTAATGGACATGTGAGAAAGGCCATTCACCTCTGGAAAAGCAAAATGCTGCCTCCTACCCCACTGCTGCTGTAGGGCAGGGGTGGGCAATACTTTTTGATGGGGGTACTAGGCCAAGATTTTGGAAAGTGATCAAGGGGCTGCACTTTTCTATGGAGGGGCTGTGGGGTTTGGAATGGAGGTTGGGTGCAGAAGGGAGCTGGGGACAGGGGATTGGGGTGCAGGATCTGGGAGGGAATTGTGACCTGGGGCAGCGGGGTGCAGAGGGTTTGGATGATGACCTGGGAAGAGGGAGTTGGGATGTGGGAGGAGCTGGGGTTGGGCTGGGAGGCACATACCCAAGCCAGCAGCCCTGCATCACCCCCAAGGCAGCCTGGGATCCTGCCTGCTGCAGCCCCAGGTCCCTT